AGGAGTAGAGACGTAAGGTTAGTAATTACTAAATACTAATTACATAGTTTTTTTTTTTTTTTTTTTTTTTTTTTGAGAAGGTTACAGTTACATGTATAAGATATAGAGGAAAGCTTATCAAATTACAAAATATCAGCTTTATTCCGCTGGAGTAGATATCTTAACACTCAGCAAGTCACCATGAACACTAAAACAGAATGAAAAAGTTTAAAAGCTTCTTATGAGAGAATTTTACATAGGTTTTCGTTACTTTTACATATAAAACCACAAAGGGCATCTAGAATTTAGACATACTCATGTTTCTGCCATCATGCAAACGTATTTTCTGAATGAATAAGCTAAATTTCTCAGTTAGAGAAAATATAGTATAACAGCTTCTAATTGTAGAGTGTTGGCGAATTGTTTTGACAGAGGGAGAGAGGGAAGGAGAGGATGAAAAGGCATAGGAAAAGTAGCAAAAAACTAAATTGACTAGATAAAGTTAAATTAGCCGTCATCCTTAATATACCTGCATGACTGATAACAAGCGATGCTTCCTTCAAGTAGTCAGCTATGCTTGATGAAAATGTAAAATACTCCAGAACTGCAGACCCATTTTCCACGGTCGACTGAAAAGATTACAGTAAGATTTGAACAATGGGGAGATAGAGGAAGAGTCATTGGCAGGCAAGAAGAGTTGTCACATCGGGCTGGAAATGTTGCAAACAATGATATCTATGAGTGTATTTTCCAACAGACAGATCTAAAAAAGGCAAAAGACATTTTGCACATTGCATAAGAATGCTTGACATAGATAACCAGTCCATTGGGGAAGGACAACTTGGCCATCAAAATAAAGTAATGAACAATGAAAACCCAGAAAACAAACATTTTGCAGTTACTAACCTAGTATTTCTATTTGCATTCGACAAGTTCATGCCCTAACATCAAATGTGCAGATAAAACATCCTGAATTCTTACCATAGAAAACTATTCTGGTCCTTAGGTATAATGAGATGCAAGCATCCACAAGAACCTAAACATAGCGCCTCATAATACTGGGCCAAGATATTAGCACCCATAAGAACCAAAACGTAGTTCCTTGTAATACTGGGCCAATCTATCCCTTGTATTGAACATCAAACAGAAGATGAGACGCATTCACCCGTGTAAAATGACCTGAGATTCATGGGCTAAACCTACATTTTCCATTCAGGCTAAAGCAACATATCAGCGTATCAGCACATAAACTCGAAGTCGCATTTAGATTTGGTTTAAGCAGTGGTGTCCTCTCTAAAAGGACATCTGTAATTTGAATAAAGGTAATTTCTTCAGTTATGCAAAACTAAACTGAAATTAGACAGAGATCCCTGAGCTTGGAATTTCCAACTGAATATATGCTCTACAATTTTTTATCATCAAGTTACCTATGTATCCAAGCAGGTTGTCAAGTCTAATATAAGTTTGACATGTAAGATGAATCCATATTTTGTTGGAAAGAGTAGTTATTTCCAGAAACTACTAGCAAATTAGCACTTCTAAAGTGCCACTAACTCGTAGTCAGTACCCTTAATCAGCCAACTCGGCTTCAGTTCTGAATTCTTACTTCTCATCTCTTTTTCTTCAGATCAAAGACAAACAAGATTTTGCATACAGAACAAGAATAGAAACCAAATGTAGGAAAATTTAGTACTCAGTTCAAAGAGAAATGATGTCGAGTGAAATGTCACGTTACCTTGGTGGGGATGTATGATCCACGACCAATCTGGATCAGAATATTGGTGTAGCCTTTCCTGAACAACTCTTTCTTAACTTCTGGAGTGTCCACAGCTCTTACTAGAGCATCAAAGCAAGTTGTCCCGACCGTCACAAAAACTACTTTCTTCTCCTTCACAGTACCACCCTCCTCACCCATTTTGATCTCTTATAAGCACTTCAAATCTGCAACTAACACGTAGTGCTATTATATTGTTTCATCAAAACTTTCGTACTTGTTATGAATTAAATATGTCGCCTTGCAAATTATCATCCTAAACTCTAAGAACGTTTCAGAAAATCAAAATAGCTACCAATTCTCCTAAAGCCCGGTGTTGCAAAAAGGCGAAAAGTGTTAGAAAGCGCTCCAGGTCTATCAGGGCTTTACTTGCAAAGTGCAATTAAAGTGTGGGCTTCAGTTAAAAAAAAGACGCAAGGAAGAAGCAAATGAAAGTACATATGTAACGCAAGAAAAAGTAATAGCTTCATTCGTAATGATTTTCTTAACAAATAATATATGTTTTTGCAAATCATGTCTAATGTTTAGTACGGTTCTATCCAAGATAGAACTTATGGGCAATGAGGCGCTCGACGTAGTGCCTTGCCTACACTGAAGCATAGCCTAAGTGATGTGAACCCCCTAGCCTGAGCTTCTCTTAGCTTTAGGGCGCGCATCAAATGAGCCTTAGACAATACTGCTAAAACCAACTACTTAATTCATATATTTATCTTTGATAGGATTTTGATAAGCTAAACACGTTCCTTATACTGGAAAATGCTAATTATAACTGATACATTTACACTTTGAAATTTTTAGTTCTCTATTATAATTCGAGTAAAGAAATTTAACTGTCCAAACCAAGTACAAATTCAAAACCACAAAATAAAAATAAAAATTGAAAACTTAAAACAACTATTAACACCACAAGATCATAATCAACACAAAAATCCATTCGGATTATGAAGAGAAAAACATTGAAACTTTCAATTCAAATTGAGCAAAATCTATATTTAAGAAAATGGAAACATTGTTTATAGAATTACCTGAATTCCTGAAATCAGAACGGGAATTAGGGATTTTTCTCGTATGAAAGAGAGGAAAAATTTTAAACCAGTACCTCGTATAAGTGTATACGAGGTACTTTAAATATAAATTGCAAAAAAATACTTACTTCAGACACACCCCTGTGTTTTAAAGTTAAACAGTTACACCCCTTATCCAATGAAAATTTTACACTTACAATCCCCTTTGAGGTATATTTGTAACTAAGTATATTAAAATATAATTAAATTTTACAAAAGAGTTAAATTATAAGTAACTATTTTTCAATTTTTACAATAACTTTATTTCGAACAAACATCAAGAAATAAAAGTCTTTAATTCTTTTCAAAATATCTTTTGATATTTGGTTAATAAAAATTTGTTTCTCTTTGGGTAAAGGTTAATAAAAATTGTAAAACAAGCTTTTCATTTTTTTGAAGCAAAAATGTGACGATAATCTTTTGTTTTTCACTTAAATGTGTGGATATTCAAGTGATTTAATTTGCATTTTGTTTGCCACAAATTGAATGTATCTTTTTCTTTTTTCTTTTAGGTAGTCAATTGGCTAACTCTTTGCGTGCCCTTGAAATAAAACCGTGTTTGTGAATATATCTTTTTTCCCCTTCCATGTTCTATAGAATCGAATTATGTAGTTGAAATTTCAGGACAATGTCTCATGAAGTTCGAATTAGGGGAGTGCGTCGATCGGTACGGTACGGTATTTATATATTTCGGTTCGGTAGATTCGGTATTCGATTTCGTAAAATTCTATACCAATACCGTACCTAATTAAGTTCGGTATGGTTCGGTTTTTCTCCTTTCGGTTTCGGTTTATTCGGTTCGGTAATTTCGAAATATGCGGTTTGAATACTAACTAGTGCATAGAGTCATAGACGGTAATATTCTTAATTAAAGTACTCAAAAGTACAAAACTAAAAACGTTTGTTGACAAAAGTTTGTCCAAAACCAACATATACCAACCTAGAGAGAGAAAACTTAGAGAAATGTCTTGTTACTTGCTTAGAGTTAATTGATAAACTTAGAGAATAAAGGAATGTAAAATTTTAGATTCCTTATACTTATGTTATAATTAATAAAATGTGTATTGTGTAATATAATATATATTTCGGTACGATATCGGTATTTCAGTATTTCATTTTAAAATACCAAATACCAATTTTTTTTAAAAAACTTAAACCAAATACCATACTGAATACCAAAATATCGAATATCAAATACCAAATACCAAAATTTTCGGTTTCGATACGAAATCGGTATTTACCAAATTATGCATACCCTAGTTCAAATTGTGTAGTTGAAAGTTTAGCTTTGACCAATTTGATATAATTTTCTTACATATTTGGGACCAAAACGATACATATCTTCATGAAATTGGTCACATCCATTAGTAATTGAAATTTGAAGTTCTTGTAATATTATCACCATATCTTTCACGCTAAGTAACTATAGGTGGCTATGCGTAATATTCGTTAGTTATTGGAGGTGTGAACTGGAGTTAATGTAGCTCAATGGAGTTAAATTTGGGATTGAAGCATTATACATACTTGCATTCACTTTCTTTCTTCTATGTGAAAAGAAGAAGCACCCCCAAAAAAAAAAAAAAAAAAAAGTATATACCTTTTAAGTTGCAACTTCTTCTTAAATACATTGCAGGATGTGTAGCCTTAGGACTCGTTTGATATGAGGGATAAGGATAATTAATTATGGGATTAAATTTGAGATTAGTTTATCCCATATTTTATTTGAATAAAATCGCGGTATAACTAATCCAAGGATTAATTAATGCAGGATTATAATGTTATTTTTATCGCTATGAGAGGGTGGGATAACAATCCTGGAATAACTAATCTCGAAATTATTAATTCCGGGATAACTTGTTTCCCAATCGAACGACCCCTTAGAAGAGTCTTTATCCCCAATTAATCGAGATACTACTCTTTAGTTTTGTTTAGATGGGCCTCATTTATCACACAGAATGGCGAGATATTTATACAAATAGTCGGTCGAATTTATTATTTATTTTTTAGCCAATATATATATATATATATATATATATATATATATATATATTACATAAATTATACATATGTTATACATTTGTGGGCTATTTTTAACTTAATCAGATGGATGAGTGGCTATTTTAATTAATTCTTTAAAGATGGTGGGACATTAAAAGGATCTTCATACGAATAGCCATCTGTATTAATTGTTTACTTTTTCTAGCCATATACGTAGTTTATACATTGATTATACACTATACATATATAATACATTAAATATCCATATATTATACCTCATCATTTTTATTTTGGGGGGGGGGGGGGTGGAAGGAGGGGAGAGTAAAAAGTTAGCCAGATTTACAAAATTACAACTGGTAATCGAAATTTAGCCACTTTTTTCATATAAAAATTAAACTATGAATAAAAATACCTTAACAATCGAGAAATATTCCAGCATAATATGTTGGAGTTCGAATATTTTTACATATGAGCTTCAATATAATGTGCTGAGTTTCAACATAATATGCGGAAAGTTTATATGTAGGAGTTTCATAATCCAATATATTATGTTGGAACTTTTCATGTGCTGGACTTCCAACATAATAAACTGGAATTATACGCAGGAGCTCCATGATCCCGCATATTATGCTGGAACTTTCTGTGTTTCAGCAATAAAGTGGCTATTTTTCAAGAACTTTGCAAACGATGGCTATTTTTTGATTACCAGTCCAAAACCTGACTAGCCCGTGCTATTTTTACCGTTTTTAATTTAAACAGTTAGGTGGACGGCTATCTGGGTTAATTTCGACATTAAACCAAAAAGGGCAAGTTTCATAACTAGACAATATTAAAATTAACATTATAATATATATGTAGCAGCAAAAATCGCATATTTCATATTTGGCCAAAGGAAATTTACGTTCATTAATTAACTATCCAAAAAATGGACCTTTAACCGAAAATCACATACAATTATGTTCCAAGAATCATGAATTGAGTAAAAATAGACTCCCAATAAGTCCCTACCTTTCAGGGACTCTTTATTTTACTAGTATTAGGGCACGCGCCTATATCAAAAAATATATACTTTTTTTAAAAATACGAAAAAAATATTAGATAATGTGAGTTATTGAATAATATTAAATAAAAAAGTATAAGTTATTAAATATGATAACAATTGATCCTTTTTAGCCCGTTAGCTCCATAAAAATAAATAATAATATTAAATCTTAAAAAATACTCTAATATTAGAGTTAATACTTTATAAAAAATAACGTAAATATAGGAAGTTGTCATTTATTAGAATGATTATAAAAAGAAAAACAAAACAAAAAAGACTTCATATGTAGGTTATCATACGAAAATTTTAATCGAATGATCATATAAAATAAAGGTCACAAAAAATAAGGTAGAAAACCAATGTTTATTGTTATTTTATTATAATATTCAAATGTTAATTGATAAAGTTATTTTTTTAGACCCTTAAATTATAGTAAACGAGAAACGATAGCTGAAACAATGGTAATATCACAATGGAAGGATATCACAACGGAAGTTTAGCTTTGCTTTGAATGGCAAATACTCACGTTAGTTTTGATTTAATAAATATATTACACGTTATGTAATTCTATATATTAAGATTTTTACATAGTTCAAATAAAAAAAAATATAATAAGTAAAATTTCAGCTAATTTTAACGTCCTAAAAGTTAGAAAAATAATTAAATAACTATTTTGAGTGTAAAATTAAATTTTAAACTATTTTTCTTGATTTCTTTTTATACTTCTTGTATTTGTCGAAGGATATCTAACAATGGAAATGTAGCTTTTCTTTGGATGGAAAATTACTCACGTTAGGTTTGATAATTAATGTGTTACATGTTGTCAAATATTATGACTTTTTACATATATACTTCAAAAAAGGATTAAGAAAAGATATAATAACAAAAATCAGGTAATTTTAAAGTCCTAAAAAGATTAAGAGAAATAATGAAATGACTAATTCGTCTAGTATGAAATCAAGTTTTAGAGGGTAAAAAAGGTGAACGACATTTCGCTAAGGGCCTTCATGCTTTTAATATAGTATAGATATAGATTAAGGCAAAAAAAATATAAATTTCTTTCAAAAACTATACAAAACACTAAAAAGTAGTATATAGTGTGCGTATATATATATATATATATAGATATATGTATTTTATGTGCATCACATGTATATTAATATATTATACAAAAAATATGTGCAGTATATAATGTATATTTTATGTGCATCACATGTATTTTTATATATTATACTTAGTATATAGTAATATATAATGTCCAGAAGATGAATCCTCAAAGAACTGAGAGATGGTAGAATTGAGAATTTTTTTGAGAAATTACCATAACTTTATGAAAGAGAGAGAAGGTACCAAATTAATAATAGTGACATAATTAGCGTAAGGTAGAAACGGATTGCTTGTTTTGTGGGACAGTAAATTTTTAAATAACCACATAATCTTTCTATCCTGTTAAAAAGATAAGAAACATCTATCATATTTGAAATAAACAAAGAATGCTAATTATTTATGAAATTAATCTTTAAATAGGGAGCAATCGTGTAAAAATCTCAACCAAAGAAGCAAATTGGGGTGATTTTTATAAATAGCCAGATTTACAACTGGTCGTTCAAAAATAGCCAATTTCAAAAGTAATCGAAATTTAGCCACTTTTTATGTAAAGATAAATCTGAGCGAAAACACTGTTCAAAAATCGGAAAATACTCCAGTATATTATGCTGGAGTTCCAGCATAAGTATACTTGAACTCCAGCATATTATACTGGAGTTCCAGGATAGTATGCTGGAACTCCAGCATAATATGATGGAGTTCCAGCATAAATACACTAGAACTCCAGCATAATATACTGGAGTTCCAGGCTTCCAGCAGGTATAATGGTCCAGTATAATATATCGGAGTTTGGAGCACCAGTGCTCCAGTCTCCAGTACAATATACTGGAGCCAACAAAGTATACCGGTCCAGCATAATATGCTGGAGTTCATACACAAGTGCACCGAACTCCAGTATATTATGCTGGACCGGTCTCTATTGCAGTAAAACGGTGGTTACTTTTCATTAACTTGGTAAACGCTGGCTATTTTTAACTGACCAGTCCGAAAACTGGCTATACCGTGAAATTTTCGCAGCAAATTTGGCTCGAGCATATAGTCAGCCCAAAATATCGAAGGCCCAAACATTCTTTTCCTACTCCAGAATCCCCCTCAGTCTCTCTCAGCGAAGCTCTTTCTTCAGTTACTCCCAAAACCTTTTTCCAACTTAAACCCTAACTAACTCCTGTTGAAGTAGCTCTAAGGTGAAATATTTTCCTCCATTTTTATTTGTTTGTTGTAGAAATTGTAGTTCCATAGAAGAGTATGAACTCGTGATCCTTATAAAGTAAAACCTTTTTTTTTTTTTTTCAGATTGTCTTCGTAATTTCATTTTCTATTTTGTTATTTTATTTTTAAAATTCAGGCATTCAGATATGAAAAGCTGCGAAATGTCTATTTTCAGTGAATTTTACTAACAATGTGAAGGTGTTTCATGTAAAAATTGTGTTTTTTGGACCTCTTCTTTTACTTGTTTAAAGGGATTTTTTTTTATTCTGGGATTGTATTGCAGAGTATGAACTTCTGATCCTTATGAAGTTTAGCCCTTATTCTCCTTTCGTTTATTCTTTTTAATTCACGAATTTATTAGATGAAAATCTGTGAAATGTCTTTTTTCAGTTAATTTTTTTTTTTTTTTTTGACAATGTGAAAGTGGTTTATTTTATAGAGTGGGAAGAATAACTGAGTCTTGGGAGTGGAAATGGCAGCCGTGGGACAGCCTTTTAGTGGCAATATTAAGGCAAGCTCGTTTTTCACTTGCTTATTCTATTGCTTTTTATCATTTTTTATTATAGTGCGTTTTTTTATATCATTTTTTTATTCCGTATTGCATTATAGTGTTTTAGAGATATTTCTGCATATACAAAATGTATGGACTAAATTCAAGCAAAGATTCAATTTTTATTTTCTAAAATTAAGTAAAAATACCATCTTTTACTTGCTGTATTTATTCATGTTACATTATCTTCATTTTTCCCTTTCTTTATGGTTGAAGCTGTTTCTAGACTGGATCTACGAGAACTAAAGAAAAGCGAAAAAGAGAAGGTTTTGGGGTTGGAAATCAATATTTTTAGCATTTATGCAGTCTTCACAATCTGTTGAGATTTACTCCTTGACTATGCTACCACTCCATCCTGATAAGCTGTCTAGTGTCTTTATTCTTGAGTGGTTAACTTACATATTATACCAAAAGGTTCACATTTGATATAAGTGTAGCCTCTAAAACCTCAAATTTATATGAAGTTACTTAAATTGCTCTACTTCTGGGCGTGTTTCTGTATGATATTAAGTTTATTCCCTCAAGAATAGGATACTAGTGCTCTTGAAAATAAGAAGCATACCCTTAAGACAAACTCTATCTAATTAAAGACAGATTGAAGTCAAGACCTTAGCTTGAACTAAGTTCACATGCTTGGAACAGATTTTGAGTCACCAAGCTAATTTCTCCCGTACAACATAGGTAGTTGATGAGTTGATGAGGTGGAAGCCAGGTTAGTCCATACTCAAACATGCTTTGAGGAAAAGAAATAAGTGTTCTGATAAGGGGGTGCGAGGGCTATTTCTCATTGCAGTGATGGGGCTGATGATGTGGAAGCCTGGTTAGTGCATACTGTAACGAACTTTGTGGGAATGAAATAAGTGTTCTGAGTTATTGGCCACTCAAGGACACCTCGCTAAGGATAACTAGGATACCACGCTAAGGATAACTTTGTTCAGGCTGATATCCCTCTTAGACTTGAATAAATTTATTACTTTGACGTTATGGGAAGTGTTGTCGTAATATGCCTGAAAGTTAACATTCCTTTTGCCACCTTGCAGAAAAGGGTTAGGAAGGTCTGCTAGTGAATTGCCGTTTTGAGATTTTATCCGCTGTGTTTTCAGAACTTTGTGAAGCTCTTAATTTCTTTTTTTTTTTTGGTTGATAAATTTGGCAACCTCCTGAAATCTACCTCAAGGAAGCCAATGCCGAGAATTTCTAATCGTTAGAAAAGAGTAGTAGGCCAACTTGATTTGGTACTGAGGCGTAGTTGTTGTTGTTGTTGTGGAAAAGATTAGTAGGCATAGTTTCACAATAGTCTTGTCCAGAAGCGAAGCAAATGAATGTTCGGCAGCGAAAAATCATCTTTAGGATAACATTGTGGTTGGATGTTTAGGCCCATTACTCATATGCTCTGTTAAAATGTTCCGCAGTTGATAGTTCAAAAAGTTTCACCTGATGTCATGATTTAATTTTTCTTTTGGTCACATTGTGCTGCTTAAGATATTTTCTTCTTCTTGTACTTCATGACTGTTAACAATTATTTTTATGATGCTGCAGAAAGCTCTTGCTGGTATAAGACGTATCAATCTGGAAGGTCTAAGATGGAGAGTGTTTGATGCCAAAGGCCAGGTTGGAATGCCCTCAATTTTGATTATCGAAACAAATAAGAAAAACGAAATAAGCATCTCAGTGAAAAGTTTGTTGGAGATTAATAAGGAATGACATGCAAATATCAATTTCCTTATGACTTTTGGGTTCCTCTACTGTGGGGAGTGAAGGTGTTAAGAGGGGATTTATGCTGCAGTACAAGGGATGAGTGTATATAAAATGTGATAAGTTGAATGCTCACGATTCTGATAATGAAGTTCCATGGTTTGTCATACTGCTCTACATTAGTATATTGGTTGTCAGTTGAGGCTTATTTCTTTTTCTTTTTTTGTTTTCTTTTCCTGCTAACCATCTTCCTTGATTCAGTATTAAGCATTAACACAATATTCTTTTAGTGGTCTTTGCTAAGACTGCATGCTAGTTTCGCCTTCTTTGTTGAAGCATCAATATCGACCTATCTTCAATCTACTAATAGCAAACTCCTTGTATAGGTCCTGGGAAGGCTGGCATCACAGATATCTACCGTGGTTCAAGGCAAAGATAAACCAACGTACACACCTAACCGTGAGGAAGGAGATATGTGCATTGTGCTCAATGCAAAGGATGTCTGTGTCACCGGGAGAAAACTCACTGATAAGTTCTATAGGTGGCACACTGGGTAAGTATTTTTGATGTTGTTACTCGTGCCATGTTGAATTATTTGTAAAATTGGTGTTTCATGATTATGGTAGAAGTAAAGGCAAAGGCAAAAGGCTGAATAAATTGTAAAAGTATAATGTGGACGGATCTTTCTACAGTTTTATTAGTGTTCATAATATCTATTTCTTGAATGCCTCTATAGTTACATAGGCCACCTAAAAGAGAGGAGTCTGAAAGACCAGATGGCTAAGGATCCAACAGAAGTTATTCGCAAAGCTGTCCTGCGTATGTTACCAAGAAACAAGCTGCGTGATGTAAGTGACGTTATTATGATCTTTTTAGTATTTTTTTAATCAAATAAGTTCTTGCACAACTGTCAGATTGCTTATTTACACTTTTGGATAGAGGGCAATATTTGGGTATTCCCTGCAAAGGCCTATCATGACAGGAAAAGTTTGCACCATAAATATGTAGAAGTGTGTGTCTTCATATATTACAGCAACAAGAAAGTGTGACGGGCTCTTTACTTTGGGCTTTCACTTATGAGTTGTCTTTATATTCTCAACACACTCTCTGTTTAGCCGCTATCTGTAGAATTATAATGGAATTTTTTTAAATGGCTGTCTGGAGATTTAATTTTGCCTGACTAGAAGTTATAAATATCACTTGGCTCTTCATTATAAGATAATGTACCTAATTTTTTTTAGCAATAATTGTATGAGAAATCGTCACTGAGCTCTTAGTTATCAGATAAACTATACCTGCAAAAGGAAGAAGTAATTGCAAAAGTTATCTATACTTCAGTACATTCTCTTTAGATAATGCCATGCATTAATAATGTGCAACTTCTAACTCATAGCCCAATCTTGTGGGATCTTTCGATAAGTAATTTTGCAGGATATTAGATTGTTGTATGCATATTTTACTTGAATTCTAAAATGCCCCTGCTGCAGCCTTGATGAAGTACTTAATGGTGTGATTTGACTTGCTAAATTTTTGTTGTAATTTTTGTCATCCTATGATTTAAGCACACAAATTTCTTTATGGTTGGGCACCTTCCCCTTAAGAGTGGATGGGAAGGGAAAGGTAAATCCCTCTTGCTTCCCTTTTAGCCCTTCCAAGCAGCATAAGAGGAACATACAAAATAGAACTTCCTCCTGGAAATAATTCTAAAATGTCCTCCGCCCTTTCTCCTTAAATAGCAACCATCATGCTACAATTAAACCGTCCATCTTTAAGTTTACCAAATGGTTCTTGTTTAGTGATAAGTTAACTTCTGTCAATTTGTTTCTATGTTTATGTCAATACTTTGTTTGTTATGCAGGATAGAGATCGGAAATTGAGGATTTTTGCTGGCGATGAGCACCCTTTTAGTGACAGACCTCTAGAGCCGTATGTGATGCCTCCTAGACAAGTTCGTGAGCTGCGCCCTCGTACAAGGAGAGCCATGATTCGAGCTCAAAAGAAGGCCGAGCAACAGCAACAGGGTACAAACAACACAAGTAAAAGAAAAAAGAACAAGGAGGTGGAAGAAGAAGCAGTGAGCGCATGAAACAGAACGCACTTTCTCATATGACTGAGTTTGACCTCTATTTGCCAGCCATAACGCGATCCTGGCATAGCTACTCAGATGATTGAGGATTTTCTAGTACCATATTTTGAGCTTGGAATTTATTTTTCTGGTTAATGGGATGCGTGTATTTTTCATTACTTTGATGTTATATTTAGGACAAAAATATACACTTGAGCATCATTATTGCCACATGATGCACCAATAAGCTCATTCTCTTATGCTCTGGCCAGTATGCTCTCTTATGTAGAACTACTAGTTAGTAGAAAGGTGTGAACTGATAATGTGTAGTCAATACTGACAATTCTTGTTTTTCAAAGAGGGATAGTCTTAAACTTGTGCTGATGCTTCTTAATGTGTTTCTATATAGTAGAAAACTGTCGTCTAGCTGCTTTTGTTGCAGAGTAGAAAACTGTCCCCAGCATCTCTCCACCATTGACCCCCTCCATCTTCACCAAAACCATAATTAACATTTTCCCATATCTCGAAGACGACAAGTGCGAGTCAAAAATTGACACAAAATGAGCCAAGAAATTAAGCTCGAGGAGAAGAAATATAAGTAATACCCAGTTTGAAGTTGGCTGTTTGTTTCGAGTCTAGCTATGTTTCTTGACTAAAACGAAACACCATTCCTTCAATGGTGGCTGGTTGATCTTCAATTCTTCATCAAAATAAACTCCTATCATCAAGCATTAGAGGGACTTGAATCGATTGATTCATACTTTGGTGGTGTTAATAGTGAATATAAGAGGAAGAAATGTGCTTTCAGAAGTGAAAAATAGTGGCAGAAAATAGTGAATATAGAAGAATGTGATAATCAAGGTAATGCTTTTAAAAAGGTTGAAGACAGTTTTAAAGACATTCACTGGAATCTATATATAGGTATTTATGCGGAGTTACATAGTTATTGTGTAAATTTTAGAATTTTCTGAGTTTCCACCCTTTGGGTGTATAAGGATATGTATAATAAAGGTAAAATTTGGGAGAATTACACTCCTTATCACTTGGTTTAATGGCTCATCAAGAAATGGTTCACGTTTGAAGCTCTTATTCAGTATGGCACTGGTTGTATATAATGTGAAAATTACTTTTCACCCATTAGCACACTCCTTTTAATTTTTTTTTCTTTTCTCTGTTCTTCTTCTCCTCCTGTCCCAACTTTGTATCCCAAACTTTCTCCATCAACGTTCCTCCATATTCAAACCCGACAATCACTATTTGAATGAGGAAGAAAAAATAATACATAAAAGAATTAGTTTTTTGGAATCATATGAAAATCATTTCCTTCAATGGAGTGGAAAGAGCTGTGTTTGCACTAAAGAGGTTCACTTGGTAGGTTGTTGGATCACCAAACTAGAAAGAAGGTATTGGCATGGTTTCAGTCTTATCCTCATTCCACGTGTAATACTAATTCCACTGGTTGATTAAAAACTTGGAAAATAGAAGTCACCATTAAAGGTGTGTCAAAGCTTCGATTTCAGAAATTGCGTTTTTTGATTTGTTAGTTGTTTTGATTGGGTGTTGTCCCAATTGATCGGAATCATCAAGGGGAGTTCAAAACTTAAATTTAAAGTGATTTGTAGTAGATTTAAGCTAGATTTGAGTTAAATTTCAGAAGATCTCCAAGAAAGAAGAAGAACATGTGAAGTTCCATTGATATGATTCATTTGTATAATAATGTATCAATAGTATATAATAGTGTATAAATAACTCTCATACACAATAATACATTATTTACATGTGTTTGGTAAATTTCTCTCACATATTCTTCTTCTTCTACACGTATATATATATATAGGTATCACGAACATTTTTTACAATGCTTATACATCTTTATACACTTTTATACAACTATATACATAATGTACCTCTTTGTATAAAAGTGTATAAACGTCTCCGACGAACTTCTTATACGATTTCACGTGCAATTCTTGTTCAAAACTAGTCCAGAACTCCATCAAATGACTTCAAACTTTGTATACAACCTACTTAGACTATTATTAATAAGTTCAAACAATACCCATTTCAAATTTCTCGCAAAATCATATTTAAAATTTAACAAGATTAGCATCGAAGAAGAAGAGACTTTAGGTTTCTCGCGTCTGTTTTTGCATTTTTGTAGATGCGATAGGTATGTATAAACTTGAGGAAAAAAGGAGAATGGAAACTCAAGGATCTTTCACGCCGGAAGATCTGGAGAATAAAAAAAAAAGAAAAAAAAATACGGATATATGTCTATTGATATTTGGCTACACATCTTCAAACATGTAATTGGGCTAAAATACTGCAAGGTCACCTTATGGAGTGATCTATTGTGTAATTCTTCCTATTATGTATCTATTTTTTCATGTAATGTTAATCCCATATCAAATTTGTTGGGAAAATGACCCCCATATATATATATATATATATATATATATATATATATATATATATATATATATATATATATATATATATATATATATATATAATCTGTATGTTATATACAAAAATTATACAAATTTTATATACTTTTTTCGGCTATCAGATATAAATAGTTTTTAACACGGGCTAAAAGTGATAATACCCTAAAATTTATTCAATAGTTCTTCAAACCATTACTAACTGGACTACCATAACCTATTTTTGGTGCGTAGTCATGAATACCAAAATTTGTTTTGTTGAATTTTTATATCGGTTATATTTGCTTTTTAATTAGTTGCACTTGGTTAACAGAAAATACAATTGTTTAACAATTAATTGTAGCCTATAATTAATACAAAGACACTTATGGAGGAATCTTTTTGCTATATTAAATATCTCTGTAGAGAAAAATTGGAATGTTCATTGTGCCCAAGTCATATTTACTACATTTTCCTTTTTGCACTTATGGAATGTTCTTAAAACTTACCAACTCAAGGAATTATCTGCATAAAATTACATATCTTATTCGAAGATTCAAAATTAACATATTTTATGTTTGGACATATGAAGAAATTAACAAATGTGACTTAATTAAAAATATATTGAGAAATGTATAAATTTTAATCGCTTTAAAAAATAATAACTAATAAAATTTATTTTTTTAATATATGTATATTATATACAAAAATAGATATATATTATATATATTTTGGATAGTGAATACAATTAGTTTCGGTTGACCAACCAATATATTCATACGTAACTTTCAAGCCAAACTAAAAATAATGTGTTTCGAGCAACTCCATTATGAAATGTTAAATATTTATCCTAGTGTTTTTGAAAAAGAAAAAAAAAAAAATCCTAATGATGAAAAAAAGAAAAGAAAAACGGAAACAACTACTTTTGGCGGTTCTTCATTTATACCCATGGGATATATAAAGAAAGCGCAGCCCTGAAACCCTCTGTTAAACCCTTCCGCCATTGCTAGTTTCCCTCTTGCACTCTTATAATGTACGGACAGCCACCGCGCAACGGCGGCGGAGGTGGCGGCTGGCGCAGCGGTCCTCCGCCGCAACAGCCACAGCCACCGGTACCACATGTAGGGTTTCAAAATCATAACTTTATACCTTCTCAACCTCCAAACTATTTCGTTCCTTCAAACCCCTTCTTTCCCCAAAACCCCAATTTTCCAATTCATAACCCTAATTTTTCGAACTTTCCAATCCAACAAAATCCTAATTTTCAATTTCAGCAGCCTCTGCAGAGTTCCTCGAGGGGTAACGAGGCTGTTGAGAGAGTTGATAGAGCTGTAATTAAGGCGCGTAGAGACCTTATAGAGGCAGGTGAAAATGTATCGGCATGGAAAGTTTCACAAGCTGCTTTGGTTATACTTAAAGCTGATTCTTGGGATTCTTTGGGTCTCAAAATGCAACAAGTTCCCTCTCTTAACCGCCTCATTGTTACCGAAGGGAAGGTACAATAACTTTGTATTTTTACAGATTCTTTGTATTCATTTTTCATAATTTTTGAAGTTGAGAATATGTTTTAGTCATATAAGCACTTTTACTTTAGGTCATGTGCTGCTTTTTTAGGAGTAAATTTATCTGTCAGCAGAAAATATAGAAAGTTTCTAGTGATTAAAACAAGGTGCATTGTTTAAATGAGTGAACTTTTGTTAGCTCTTTGTATCTAAGTTAGCATATATGTAGTAAGCTAATAGGTGATCTTTTTTTGCTTTTTGAAGCTTCTATGCTTCTGCTTCTTGTAATATTTTGCATCTTCTTGATGACATCAATGAAGCCAATTATTTCATCAAAAAAAAGAGAGGATGCATTGTTTAAATGAATGTGACTTGCAAACTGCAGAGTTGTGTAAAATATTATTTTTTGTAGAATCATGATAAACCTACCAACATGTCCCAATATGGAATGTATAAATTTGAAGGACCTTTTTTAAAAATAAAGTATATTTGGTTAACCGATCGAACTTTTTTTGTTGCTCATGGTCTCTTTTTTGTAATTTGACTGAAGATGTTTTAGACTACTATGAACTTTAATCAGTTTTATCCCATGGATTATTTGGAACTTTGCTTATGAAAGTTGAATTTTCTAACTCTGTTGAGCTATTTGTATGTGCTTTTCTGGAGATTTAATGATTAAAGATGCCTTATGTGGAGCATGAAATGTTCACACAAGATAAAGGTTTCAGTTTTGTGTACTTAAAAGGGTAAGCATTTGATTTCTATAGTTTTTTTGTCATGAGAAAATTATGCAAAAAATGAGTATATGATGTGCTTATTTAGAATTTTACTTATCAAAAAGAAAAGTATACAATGTGCTTATTGGTTTTGACACCGGCAAACAGTGGTTATGGAGATTGTTCAAATGCATTGTTGTTGCTCAACTTGGTCATTTACATTGGTGGCGCTTAACTTTTAGTAGTCTCTCTCTCTCTTACTTTCTGTACTTCATTTTGCTTTGTTCCCTTCAATTTAATTTTTTGGTTTTGGAGGCTAACCTAAATTCATCATGTGTTGTTTACACCGAGCTCCATCTCATCTTTTAATAGATACACTTGTTTTGTCCTTTTACCTTTTCTTGTTTTGCCTTTTGATCCATCAAGCAGCACTCTATTTCCAACCCCCTTACTTCAAATAGGGGGTACATTATTTACAAGTTGAAGGGAAGAGGTTATTAAATCAATCTTCCCAAAGCAATGTGAAATTAGAGTGAAGCTTTGGTGACCATCAACCTTAAATTCCATTTTGTATTTTCTTGGATAATTTTTAGTGGATATTTATGGTGGACCATCTATTTGGTTTCTTTTCATGAGAAGATAATCTTATGGAATTCTAAATTTTCATTTCCCCATCTCTTTTCTTAGATTAATGCTTTCATCCACTGCTTTGTCGGTGTTCAAAGAATTACCACATTGTATGATT